CTGTGCCATTTTCTGAGAATAAAATAGTAAACAGTTGAAGTTTTAAAAATTTTCTTCCAATAGAATCATATTTGCTTTAATGAGGATGTGTTAACAATTCTCTATAAGTATTTTGTAAAGAAAAGAATGTTGGTGGTATTTCACTGTGATCAAAGATGTATGAACTATATGTCCTTGGCCTGCTTACACTGAGCAGTAGGGTATCTTAAAGTAGGAGTATATAGAGGAGATAGAAAACAAACCACTCAACAGTGAGAGCTTGATGGTAGAGTGTGTCACATAGAGCAATTCTGCTGAAGGTTTTGGACCTCTGCAGAAATACTTTGCTTGTCCATATTTGAATTCCTAAAATGTATTGTTGTGTGTGCTACTTGTGGGTTCTTTTTTCCAATTAATTTTTCTTTGAAAAACTGTCAAGCACTATGGGAGCACATAATATAACAAGAGTCTCAGAATTCCATCTCCTGAGCTTCTCAGAGGATCCAGACCTGCAGCCCATCCTTTTTGGACTGTTCCTGTGCATGTACATGGTCACTGTGCTTGGGAACCTGCTCATCCTACTGGTTGTCAGCTCTGACTTCCACCTCCACACCTCCATGTACATTTTTCTGTCTAACCTGTCTTTTATTGACATCTCTTTAACCTCATCTATAGTTCCAAAGTTGATTGTGGGCATCTTAAATCACATCAGAGTTATCTCCTATGTGGGCTGCCTGACACAGATGTCCTTTTTTATCTTATTTGCATGTATGGATCACATGCTTCTGACAGTCATGGCCTATGACCGGTTTGTGGCCATCTGCCATCCCCTGCATTATGCAACAATTATGAACCCTCGCCTCTGTGTCTTGTTAGTTTTGTTCTCTGTCTTTGTTGGCCTTCTGGAGTCCCAGCTGCACATCCTAATTGTTTTACAACTTACCTGTTTCAAAGATGTGAAAATTGCTAATTTCTTCTGTTTTCCTTCCCAACTTCTTAACCTTTCATGTTATGATAGGTTAATCATAACCATAGTCCAATATATTTTTGGTACCATATTTGGCTTTATTCCCATGTCAGGGATTGTTTTCTCTTATTCTAAGATTATTTCATCTCTTCTGAAAACCCCATCATCTGGGGGGAGGTACAAAGCCTTTTCTACCTGTGGTTCTCGCCTGTCAGTTGTTTGCTTATTTTATGGAACAGCCTTTGGAACGTATCTTGGTTCAGCCATGTCATATTCTCCAAGGAAGCTTGAGGTGGCCTCACTGATGTTCACTGTGGTCACCCCTCTGCTGAATCCCTTCATCTACAGCCTGAGAGACAGGGACATTCTTAGCTCCCTGAAGAGGCTCCACCATTGGAGAGTCTAATCCCAGGACATTCAACATCTATTTGAAATGTAATTTGGAAAACGTTGTAAAGCAGAAGTCTCAACAGTCAACCACAAATACTTAATCCTTGGGTATGTTTCAAAAGTTTGATGTGTGCAATTTATTATGTTTCATAACAGAATCATGACTGGTTGGAAAATGTTGGAATTAAGGTTCTTCATATGTGCTACATTCATTTAGGATTGTTAAATTTTTGGAGATGTATAATAACGATGGCTATGCAAAAACAAAATTATAGTTAATGTTAACAAGCTGTGCACCTAAACATGGTTAAAATGGTACATTTTGGGAAATATATCTTAATGCAATAAGCATAAATAAAGCTAGAGAATACTGAAATGCACTTTTGGTAATTTTGTGTCCTGTAGTTATAATACTCTTAAAATTGCAATTTTAAATTATGAGTTTCCTTGTCTTCCTTCTATCTATCATTATTTTTCTATCCTATCTTATTTCACCATCCCCGGTCTTTATCTCACCTTGCTCAGTAATGTGGAGGTGCTGAAGTTCCCTGTTCTTATGACTGCTTCAGGTTGAGTAGGTTGGGGGGCACTGCCCTTGCCAAATTAGGGAACAAAAGTCTCACTCTTAAGGAGTGAGATTTAAAGGAGACAAAGAGATATGGGTTTTCTTTTTTGATGAATCATCATCCTTTAATATCCTGGAAAAGAAGCACATTAGTGAGTCAATTAGTTTTCAACCTCATTTTTGAACCAAGTTAAATAAGCAAGTGTCAAAAACTAAAGTGGAGTATTGGTGAACAGTGCTCACAAAAGTTATAGAATTCAGACAAAGCATTTTATTTCTATACAATTTGAAGTGTTTATCCAAGTACAATAGATGGAGTCATAGTATGTATACTTCCCATTTGTTTAATAAGACGTCAATTTTTCTTTTATTTTAAAGGCAAAAATATAGCAAATACACACACACACACACACACACACACACATATATATATATTTATTTCTGTGTGCGCATTGGACCATCAAAAATTTTATTACCAGTCTCAGAACATGAGATATGTCCTCTATTTTGTATCCCTGAGGACATTTTATAGTGCTTGGCCTCTAGCAATATAAACATAGTCTGGAGTGGATATCAGAAAGTTTATATCACAAAAGTAATAAAGCTTAGGAAGTTATTTATATTTATGTTGTCATTTTCAAATTCAAGGTAGACCTATACAAGAAGCCAAATCTTCACTTGAGAGTTAATTTAAACCTACATAAAATAACACAATGATAGGAAGAAGGGCATGTTTTCAGGAGAGATAGTGTGTCTGGGAATAACAACTTCTTGTGGTTGTAGCATAAGATGTTACAAGTTCAGGTAGACACTGCCAGTAGGGGCTAGTTTCAGTGTTTGGTGCTCCTTTTTAAATGTAGCCTAGCTTTATCCTATTTTATAGTGCCATTGTTCCACATTTTCAGTTATACTTTGATGTTGTGTGTTTACACCAAGTCAAAGTAAGACACTATCAAACAAATTTAGTGTATTTACACATATCTGTGAAGGAAGGTCTTTTAAGAGTCTTCAGGAATTATTTTTGGGGCCACGTGCAGTATCTTAGATCCTCTAGTGTTTTGTTCTATGTTGTGTCATCTGCCAGGATGCATCATAGTCTTGCTTGACCATATGGTTTTCCTTGAAAGCATAGTAACAATCCCCTCTCTAGCGACTCTCCTTTTGGCAAAAATGCACACAAAAATAATGTTCTCTGTAGTCCAACAGTCCCTCTTGTTAGGCTTTTTGTGACTCACCAGAGTTGCAGAATCTATTCTGAGGGATGTTGTCATGTCTTGGGATTTGTTTGACCATCTAGGGCAAGGGCCAAAGTCCTGGCTTTCCTTGTAGCTTCTTTCTTCAATTTGGTCTCAAAGCCTGCCTTTTTCAACACCAAGAAGGTCAGTTACATCAGTCTTGAATGGGAGAAGTATGTCATATTCCTATTATAATAGTTTCAGGATATTGGAAACTTTAAAATATGTAGTATACC